AGTGGACGTCTTCAGTCTGAGGAAGAGGAGGATGGAGTGGACGTCTTGAGCTGATGGAGGGTCCAGCTGGAAGTTCTTTGTTTCTTCAGAGGAGCAGCTCGAGCACCCGACTGGCTCTCGGTACATCAGGGCTGTGCAAGGTTCTCAAGAAGTCCCTAAAGAGTTTGAGCTCCTTCAAGTTTGTTTTTTTCTTTTGCCAAACTCACGGTCATCAGATATATTCCCTCAGGTGTTGGCTGCAGGAGCAGGGCAGGCCTCCGTGTCTCATCTTTGTTGATCTTCAGAAGGTCTTGGTTCATGACAGCATGCAGGGCTCAGTCTGCTTGATGTCCTGAAGGTCTACCTCCACACAGAACATTTTCCTCCTGCTCTTCTGCTCTTCAAGACTAACAGGCTCTTGAAGATGGTGCCATTTTCAGATTACGCAGCTTCCCACACAGAAGCTGATGGATGAGTTCTCACACACCCGTAATGACTCCGCCCTCAACACTGAAAAGACCAACGTCATGGGTCAAGAGTTGAGATCCCACTCTGCTTCTCTATGAACAACAAGACTCTGGTGTTTACATCTGTGCATACCTCAGGTCCACAGTCTCTTACAGCCTCACTTGACCCAGAACTGAGCACTCGTCCTACAAAGGGCTGCCTCGGTGGTGCCCGGCCTGTCCAAGAGAGGGGAACACAGCAATGTGACGGTTCACACCAAAGACCAGGTCTACTGATGGTTCACACCAAAGACCAGATCTACTGAGCCTGCATCAACAGCACTCTGCTGGATGGAAGAGACACTTGGACCCTGAACCCTCAGCAACAAAATCAGCCCAACAGCTTCCACACTCTTGACAGGCAGGACAGAGTAACACAGAAGTCCTGGACCGGGCTCATTCTTACAGGGTCCAGGCCTGCAGGGCGGCCTGTGGCACCAGGACGTCACACGGGACACGAGGGAGGCCGATGGTGGTCAGTAGGTGGAAGGAAGCTGCTGAAGATCTCAGCGGTTAAAGCCAACCGTGACTGCAGGAACCTGCCGTGCAGCAGAGACACGTCTCCTTACTGTTGGCACAGAAACTAGACCAGTTTCTGCAGGTGGCAGGTCCAGGTCCAGGACTGGTTCCAGGCCTTATTATTTTCCTAAGTCAATGGAAAGCTCAGAATGTGATGTTTGTGGAACTGAACTTCATTAAGATGTTTTATTTTCTCCATCAATCCGTTTTCTTCACCTGCTTCTCCTCTCTGGGTCTGAAGGGGAGGAAGTCCGTCTCCAGCAGTCACTGCGAGAGGCGGGGGACACCTGGACATGTCTCCAGTCCATCACAGGGACACAAAGACAAATGGGTCTAACCACTATGCTCCCTCACACCTAGTCTAGACCCATGAACCAAGAATGCATGTTTTTGATCTGTGGGAAGAAATCCACACGTGCACGGAGAGACCATGTAAACTCCTCACAAATAGGCCAGGAAGCGAACCTGTGGCCTTGTGGCTGAGAGTTGACCACTGCTGCACCGTGTTGTCTTTTTTACTTTCATCACAAAAGTGTTTGTTTGATGAACGATCCATATTTCACTTCCTGTCCGTGCACTCTTCTCCTGTTCTTCGTGTTTCTTGTTAAGTGAAGGAAGAGGAGTGTGCATTGTTCATTCATCCCGCTGCGTCCCTCAGGGACTCCTCGTACTGTACGCAAGTGTTTTCCTCCCAGATCGGCCGGCGGTCTGAACACAACGATGTTGTTCACTCTCAGCCAGCTCCAAACAGCTGCTCCGGGCTCAGACCATCTGCTGCACGCCCTCGTGGCTCATCTCGGCTAATGAAAAACTCACATTTACAGCCGAAGCGCTGATCGGACCTCCTCGGAGGTTTCCAGCCACTCATGGATGTCAGAAGAAGTTTACTCTTAATGATTTATGTGAAGCGTTATTTTGGTCCTCAGTGGTTTTTAAAAGCAGGATATGGGAGCACAGGTGTGGTCAGGTTCATGTAGTCTCAAACACGTATAGCCAAACACCCCCTCACACCAATATTTGGTTAAAAGTCTTACTGAGTCTCACCTGGACCTCAGTCCTGTCTCCACCAAGCTTCTGGCAGATTTCTGGCTGATACTGGACCTGATCTTCTTTACCTGGACGGTAGAGCTCAGGTTGGTTTCCTTCACGGACCCAGCTTTTAATCGGAGTCCACCAGTTTTCAGTCTGGTTGATGTCAGGACCGTATCAAACCTGATTTGTCCATCAGAAACCAGTTCTGGTGTGTTTGGGATCGTGGTCCAGTTGGACCCAACTGTGTCCAAGTTTCAACCTTCCAGTTGTTTGTTTGAGGTGAAGTTGAAGAATTTAAACGGTCCTCCTCTTATTGTACCACAGCATGATGATACCGCCACCATGCCTGACAGTTGGTTTGGTGTTCTGAAGTCTGAAAGCCTCACCTTGAGTCCTCCAAATGTCCTTCCTGTCTCACGTTTCTCCAGAAGACATCTGTCTTGTCCATGTGGACAGCTTCTTGTTTCAGTCTAAAGGTTTGGAGCTTCTTTCTTGATCCTCTCAGTCCATGGTGATGTAATACAGGCTTTGCTGTGGACAGGGACTCTGGTGGACACAGACAGGATCCTTGGTGGTTCCTGGGTTGGTGAACCTGTTACTTTCCACCAGTGGTGAAGGTAATGTTGGTTCATTCAGAACAGTTTAAATCTACTTTTTCATGTAGATAGTTTTAGTTTTTCTTCTTACACCAGGGGTTCCTGACTGCTGAGGCTGGAATGTTGCTCCCTGTTGGACAGAAGCAGCTCCTGAATGATTAAATATAAATTAGTCAGGGACGCTGGCCTAATGATTTCTCTATAGATCCTTCCGTCACTGTCGGTTAAAGCTGCCATCTTTACTGTCGCTCCCTGCAGCTCCTGCCAGGACTGAGGGTTAAAATTTAAGTAAAATCTGTAGCTTCAGTGGAGCGCAGCTGTGGGCCTCCTGCTCACTAATCACCACAAGCTGGTGGTCGTGTCGGAGCTGATCGACCATCGGAGACGATGAAACATGTTCATACGTCCACGGACCAATGAACGATTTCACTAACGTGCATTGAAATACAGACACTTGTATCCTCGTAACAACAGGCAACACGCTACAGCGTGAACGCTGAGTCAGCGTTCAGGTGATGAGTCGGCGTTCAGGTGATGAGTCGGCGTTCAGGTGCCGAGTCGGCG